GGAGTGCTGGACTCGGAGAGGGACCGGCTGATCCTCATCAGCGAGAAGGAGGAGCTGCTGAAGGAGATGCGCTTCATCAGCCCCCGGAAGTGGACGCAGGGCGAGGTGGAGCAGCTGGAGATGGCCCGCAAGCGGCTGGAGAAGGACCTGCAGGCAGCCCGGGACACCCAGAGCAAGGCGCTGACCGAGAGGTGGGGCTGGGCCGCGGCCGGGAGCGGGCGTGCGGCCCTTCCCTCACTGCCCATCCTGGGGCTGCCAGAGGTCCTTGTGTTTCATGAAAAGTGTTAGGATTTTTTTTTTTTTTAATATTGAGAACTAATCCAAAAGGTTTTTTTAATATATTTTTATTGATTTCAGAGAGGGAGGGAGGGAGAGAGACAGAAACATCAGTGATGAGAGAGAATCATTGATCGGCTGCCTCCTGCACACCCGACACCGGGGATCGAACCCACAACCTGGGCATGTGCCCTGGCCGGGAATTAACTGTGACCTCCTGGTTCACAGGACAATGCTCAACTGCTGAGTCACGCTGGCCGGGCAAATCCAAAAGTTTTTTAAAAATACTACGAAAGCTAAATCAGCTTCCTGTGGGCCTGACTTAATCTGAAAGCCACTGGTTTACATTCTTTGCTTTCAACCTTTAACAAACTTTATTTCCTTCATTGTCACACCACTTTGCACATCCACACTGCACAGAGCACAACCTCGCACCCACAGGAGGCCCCGTAATCCCCAACTTCTCATTCATTCATTCATTCATTGTGTCCATTATCCGTCATACAGTCCTTCATTTAAACCTTCTGGCAACACTGAGGTTGATCTCCGTTTTATAGATGAGGAAACGGAGGCTCCCCCAACATCCCTGAGTGGCAGAGCTGTGCGTAGATCCCAGGCTCACTGGCTCCGGAGCCCATGCTTGCTTTAGCAAAACGAAGTCAGGAACCGTCAGGCTGCTCGGAGGATGTCACGGCTCCTTGTCTCTCACAACCTTGGGCGTGCCATCTGTTACCCTCTCCCGCAATGCCGCGGGCACACCGGTCATGCCCCCTTCTCGGCCCGCAGGATCGCCAACCTGAAGATCCAGCTGGCCAAGCTGGACAGTGAGGCCTGGCCCGGAGTGCTGGACTCGGAGAGGGACCGGCTGATCCTCATCAGCGAGAAGGAGGAGCTGCTGAAGGAGATGCGCTTCATCAGCCCCCGGAAGTGGACGCAGGGCGAGGTGGAGCAGCTGGAGATGGCCCGCAAGCGGCTGGAGAAGGACCTGCAGGCAGCCCGGGACACCCAGAGCAAGGCGCTGACCGAGAGGTGGGGCTGGGCCGCGGCCGGGAGCGGGCGTGCGGCCCTTCCCTCACTGCCCATCCTGGGGCTGCTAGAGGTCCTTGTGTTTCATGAAAAGTGTTAGGATTTTTTTTTTTTTAATATTGAGAACTAATCCAAAAGGTTTTTTTAATATATTTTTATTGATTTCAGAGAGGGAGGGAGGGAGAGAGACAGAAACATCAGTGATGAGAGAGAATCATTGATCGGCTGCCTCCTGCACACCCCACACCAGGGATCGAACCCACAACCTGGGCATATGCCCTGACCGGGAATTAACTGTGACCTCCTGGTTCACAGGACAATGCTCAACTGCTGAGTCACGCTGGCCGGGCAAATCCAAAAGTTTTTTAAAAATACTACGAAAGCTAAATCAGCTTCCTGTGGGCCTGACTTAATCTGAAAGCCACTGGTTTACATTCTTTGCTTTCAACCTTGTAACAAACTTTATTTCCTTCATTGTCACACCAGTTTGCACACCCACACTGCACAGCACAACCTCGCACCCACAGGAGGTCCCGTAATCCCCAACTTCTCATTCATTCATTGTGTCCATTACCTGTCACACAGTCCTTCATTTAAACCTTCTGGCAACACTGAGGTTGATCTCCGTTTTATAGATGAGGAAACGGAGGCTCCCCCAACATCCCTGAGTGGCAGAGCTGTGCGTAGATCCCAGGCTCACTGGCTCCGGAGCCCATGCTTGCTTTAGGCTGCTGCACACGTAGAGGGTCTTTTATTATTGCCTTCAGCCCCTGGGTGGCTTCCCTGGAACTGTAAGTTCACACAGCCAGTCTGGGAAGCCAGGATCTCCACTCCGCAGCAGCTGCTGAGCAGGTGACTTGAAGGTCCCCCAGGGCAGGGCCCTCTGGGGGACATGCAGAGGGAAGCCAGGGGCATGTGGGCAGGAGGAGAGGAGAGCCTGGGGAAGGGTAGGGACAGGCTGAAAGCTGTGAGCCTCTGCAGGCGAGAGAAGAAAGCTGACTCAACAGTCTTCGAATCTACAGCTGTTTGCTTCCCGACCACGCTTGTCTGTCTGTGTCCATCCCTCTGACTCTTGTCTCCTTAGGTCTCTTTCTGTTCCCATGTTCCTCTCTCTCTCCTGTGTCTGGAAATGGGAGTATTATGCGCCTCATCTTCACACAATAAGGTTTTTTTAATATATTTTTATTGATTTCAGAGAGGGAGGGAGGGAGAGAGACAGAAACATCAGTGATGAGAGAGAATCATTGATCGGCTGCCTCCTGCACACCCGACACCGGGGATCGAACCCACAACCTGGGCATGTGCCCTGGCCGGGAATTAACTGTGACCTCCTGGTTCACAGGACAATGCTCAACTGCTGAGTCACGCTGGCCGGGCAAATCCAAAAGTTTTTAAAAAATACTACGAAAGCTAAATCAGCTTCCTGTGGGCCTGACTGAATCTGAAAGCCACTGGTTTACATTCTTTGCTTTCAACCTTTAACAAACTTTATTTCCTTCATTGTCACACCAGTTTGCACACCCACACTGCACAGCACAACCTCGCACCCACAGGAGGTCCCGTAATCCCCAACTTCTCATTCATTCATTTTGTGTCCATTACCTGTCATACAGTCCTTCATTTAAACCTTCTGGCAACACTGAGGTTGATCTCCGTTTTATAGATGAGGAAACGGAGGCTCCCCCAACATCCCTGAGTGGCAGAGCTGTGCGTAGATCCCAGGCTCACTGGCTCCGGAGCCCATGCTTGCTTTAGGCTGCTGCACACGTAGAGGGTCTTTTATTATTGCCTTCAGCCCCTGGGTGGCTTCCCTGGAACTGTAAGTTCACACAGCCAGTCTGGGAAGCCAGGATCTCCACTCCGCAGCAGCTGCTGAGCAGGTGACTTGAAGGTCCCCCAGGGCAGGGCCCTCTGGGGGACATGCAGAGGGAAGCCAGGGGCATGTGGGCAGGAGGAGAGGAGAGCCTGGGGAAGGGTAGGGACAGGCTGAAAGCTGTGAGCCTCTGCAGGCGAGAGAAGAAAGCTGACTCAACAGTCTTCGAATCTACAGCTGTTTGCTTCCCGACCACGCTTGTCTGTCTGTGTCCATCCCTCTGACTCTTGTCTCCTTAGGTCTCTTTCTGTTCCCATGTTCCTCTCTCTCTCCTGTGTCTGGAAATGGGAGTATTATGCGCCTCATCTTCACACAATAGCCTTTCCATTCAAGATGCCTCTGAGGACAGGAATAGTTAAACCACACCACAGGGCCTGCCAAACCCCAGTCACAAATCAGTCAGAATGACAGACATCTCAACACCCCTCGTCCTAACCCCTCCCCTCCTGTAGGGCCTCCCACCACTTCTGAGAGCGGCTGTGCATTCAGGCGGGGTGCTTGTTAGAGTATGGGCTCCCTGGCTGCACCCCAGGGACCGGTTCCCCAGGCCTGGGATGCAGCCCAGGCTCTTGCATTTTTAACCAGCACCCCAGGTGCTAAGCTCAGCTTGTGCACCTTCTGCATCCTCTGCCTTCGATGCTTGATGTGTTCTTGGCCTCCCAGCATGTGCCCGGCATCACACACAAATGCCATCTGGCCCGCTCGGCCCAGCGCCTCTGGGAGGAGGCCTCGGCGCCTGCGTGTTGCTGCCGGCGGCCACACCCTGTGCTCAGGAAGTCAAGGCCACCTGAATCCTGGCCCCCCAGCATCCTCTTGGGGCTTCAGTGGGGACCTGCTTTTACTCCCATAACACGCCTCCGTGGTTTTCTCCCAGAGAAGAGGATAATGGAGGTAGAAGTGGGGGTCCCAGCGGCTCCTCGACCTCTTCCTTCCAGGGCTTTGCTCTTAGGGAGGGTCAGGGGTTCGGCCCTGTTCGTTCTGTGGAGAGTCAAGGATTCTGTTCATTTCGGGCTCAGTGTGCCCGCCTGCTGCCTGCCCTGCCCCGGGCAGGACTCTGGAAGAACAGTGCCAGGAACGGTGGCCAAGGACCATGCCAAGGCCTCTCTGCCTGCTGCTCCAATGGTCTTTTCTGGAATTTCACAGGTTCCATTGACCATTAATAGTCCCTGCCCATCCCTGACCACTGCTCAGGTGTCTTGAGCCAGCTCTGTGTTGAAGGCCTGGGATGCTGGTGGAGGGTTAGTGTGGTCAGATTTTTCCATGGAAATGGAGGAGGTAAAGTTGGGTAGAATCCTAATTCTGCCACTAATTCTGTAGCTTTAAGTAAATTATTGGACCTAAGAACAACTTCTTCATATGTAAAGTGGGAAAAGCCATTCTTACCTCGTTAGGGTTATTCTGCAAATGAATTAAAACAGTGTCATAGCACATTGTTTCTAGCACAGCACTTGGTATATTGTGACTGATGATACAAGCCGTTGCTATGGATTATATGGGGAGCTCACATCTCCCCAAACGTCACAGGGAAATGCTTCCAGAAGGTTCTTGTGTGTTGGTGTGTCCACCTCCATGGGTACATGCCTGTGATTCCTCTTTCAGGGACACATTCCTCAGGGCTCCCCTTCATGCCTTCTCTCCCTTCAGGTTGAAGTTAAACAGTAAGAGGAACCAGCTGGTGAGAGAACTGGAGGAAGCCACCCGGCAGGTGGCAGCTCTGCATTCCCAGCTGAAAAGGTGAGCAGTGGGCAGTGGGGACAGTGCTGTCCGGGGGCTGGCCAGGTGCAGGCGTCCCTCCTGCACGACACGGAGAGCAGACCTCAGGCCGGGGCCTTGGTGGGCAACTGAGTGTCACTGGACTTTCACAGAATTTGTTTTTCTCAGATATTTCTCTTTTTTAAATATATTTTTATTGATTTCAGAGAGAAAGGGAGAGGGAGAGAGAGATAGAAACGTCAATGATGAGAGAGAATCATTGATCGGCTGCCTCTTGCTATGCTTTCAGATATTTCAACCGTAGCCTTTGTTATAAGTGATACTGCATTTCCACTTACCCTTAGGATATAGTTTCCTTTTTATATATAT